TGCCCCCCCCCGCTGCCCTCTCCCCGCAGGAGGCCGATGGCACGCTGGACTGCATCAGCATGGCCCTGACCTGCACCTTCAACCGCTGGGGCACGCTGCTGGCCGTGGGCTGCAACGACGGGCGCATCGTTATCTGGGACTTCCTGACCAGGGGCATCGCCAAAATCATAAGCGCTCACATTCACCCCGTCTGCTCGTTATGGTGAGAAGAGGCTCATTTTTTCTCAGAACAACTCAATTCAATGTTTAATTGTAGTTGAGCTCATAGCTTAGGACTAGCCTAGCTAGCCTAGCCTAGCTCTTGTAGGACAAGAGGAAATGGCCTCAAGTTGTGCCAAGGGAGGTTTAGGTTGAACATTAGGAAAAAATTCTTTACTGAAAGAATGGTCAAGCCTTGGAACAGGCTGCCCAGGGAAGTGGTGGAGTCACCATCCCTGGAAGTATTTAAAAGACCTGTAGATGAGGCGCTTACGGACATGGTTTAGGGGGCATGGTGGTGTTGGGTTGACGGTTGGACTCGATGATCTTGGAGGTCTTTTCCAACCTTATAGATTCTATGATTCTATGCACTAGGTATGAAGGGCTGTTCTCATTTTTGTTTGAATGTGTCCACGCCTGTGTTTGTTGAGCATCAGGTGCTCTGATACCCTGACAGCTCTTAACACCTGGGTGTGTTGGTTACTGAAATGCCAGCCTGTGGCGGGATACTTGGTTATGTCTTAGGATAGCTTCCTTTAAGAGAGTTTGGAAATGCGTTATGCCTATTAAGTCTTTGGATGTTAGGTTATTTTTCAGACTAACAGATTTATATCTGAGCCTGATAAGTTGATCTGATAATTTTAAACTGTGGGTGTATGTTTTATGTGTTTAAAGAGTAACTTTTACTTGAACTGCCTCTCGTTACTGTAGCTGGAGTCGAGATGGTCACAAGCTGGTGAGTGCTTCAACCGATAACATTGTGTCGCAGTGGGATGTGCTCTCTGGAGACTGCGACCAGAGATTTCGATTTCCTTCACCTATCTTGAAAGTTCAGTATCACCCTCGAGACCAGTAAGTCCTGTGAAAAAAGGGTTGAATGCTCTCATTTGGGTAGCACTGCTCTTATTTTGGTAGAACTAATGGTTATTAAACTGTTTTTATTGTAGTTTGCAAAGTGATTTTTTCCAAATCCAGTAGATGCTGTCAGTGTATCTTCTTTTTGTGATTAGAACCCTAACTGGATTTGTTGTGGCTCTTTTTGTTATGAAAATGTCAGGAAGGAGGAGCGTAAACAAGAGAATAATTCTTAGAAATGTCTTGCTGAGTTTACAAGTTACTGCATAAACTTGGAGAAGCTTCCAGAAAAAGAAAGGAAATTAAAGTAGACACCAGCTTAATGTCATATTACGATTAAAGTAACAAAGATGAAATAAGATAATAAAAATACAGAGGTATTCTGTATTTCTTGATATAGGTTGAGATTTTTTTCTTACTTCTAAATGTGGAAATGTCTTTTCCAGAGAAGAAACTACTAACTCTTCTTTTTCTGCTCTGCAGAAACAGAGTTTTGGTTTGTCCCATGAAGTCGGCGCCGGTGATGCTAACGCTGTCAGACTCCAAACATGTTGTCCTACCTGTGGATGATGATTCTGATCTCAATGTTGTGGCCTCCTTTGACAGGCGAGGGGAATACATTTATACGGGCAATGCCAAGGGGAAGGTGAGACTTTAGCAGGCAGCACTGGATGCAATAGATTAGATTTCTTCCTGTCTTTATCAAGGTGCTTAACGCTTCTGGGTTGCATTCTTTGTTTTAATACACAAATAAGGCTTCCTGAATGTCTCTTGAATAATTGATATTGTGCTGATCTTCTGAATAAAGCATCACACTTTATCTTTGAAGATCTCTAGACTATAGCCTTTGTCTGAGTTAGGTCTTTGTGTTGCTGTTGTCTTTGACCGTATTTGTCGGATCCTTTTCCAGTGTAAATAAACTGATGTTTATTTACAGAAACTGTAGTAGAAACTACAGTTGCAGAATCCCAACTATGCCTGTATAGATTGCTGAGGCTTCTGTTGTCAGGGTTAGTAGCTGATGTGAAAGGTACCGAAAGGGGAATGAGTTATGATGAAGACGCTGATTGCCTTCTGTCTCCTTAACCTTCAGATCTTGGTCTTAAAAACAGACACTCAGGATCTTGTTGCTTCCTTCAGAGTGACAACTGGAACCAGCAACACCACAGCTATTAAATCGATTGAATTTGCTCGGAAAGGAAGGTGAGTTACTTCCTCTATCAGGTGGTGTCTTTAAAGATGAATTGAAAGCTATAGGGTACGCTGACAGAGCATACAAGGTTTTAAACCCCCCCCACAAATCTTTCATGGAAGATATTCTAATTCTTTTTATTTTCTTAGTCTTCTACTGCAATGCATGTTCTGTGCCCTCCTTCCTACAGCTGCTTTTTAATAAACACAGCTGACCGGATAATCAGGGTGTACGATGGCCGTGAAATTCTAACTTGTGGACGAGATGGGGAGCCTGAACCAATGCAGAAGCTGCAGGATTTAGTGAACAGGTAAGAGGCAGCAGAATGGCTGGTCAGCCTGACTTGAAAAGGTGAGGTTTGTGTGCGCTGCACTAATGTGAGTCTCAGGACGAAGGGTAGCTCAGTATCTTATTCGGTGTAATGGACAGATGCTTTTATGTGAAACCTGTCTATCACAACTTGATCTGAAGTTTAAATTTTATTTGTGGATAGGACTATGTAAGATCTCAGTCTGAAGAACAAGCCCACTCCGCAGTCCTCCATCCTCCATGTTGTGCTGTTATTTAAGTGTTTAACTTGCAATGTTTTTGCACACAGGACACCGTGGAAGAAGTGCTGTTTCTCTGGTGATGGTGAATATATAGTGGCAGGTTCAGCACGACAGCATGCCCTGTACATTTGGGAGAAGAGTATTGGAAACCTAGTGAAAATCCTCCACGGGACCAGAGGAGAGCTGCTCTTGGATGTAGCAGTAAGAAAACTGTCTGCTATTACGATGTTTCTTGTTATTTTGAAAACTAAGCTTTCTTAATTCCATTCACTAATTAAGTTCCTTCTCTTTTCTCTTCCAAATAAATCTAGTGGCATCCTGTCCGACCGATCATAGCTTCCATTTCAAGTGGTGTTGTGTCAATATGGGCTCAGAATCAAGTGGTAAGCATTTTAGATCACTTCCTTAAGAGGATTCCCCAGTGGTCTCCATACTAGTAGACTGAATTATTGCATGTTGAAATCCTTTATTAAATCCCAATTCAACAAGCTCATTAGGTTCACCTGTCTAACTTGAAATGTTTGCCATCTTGTTGAATGTGAGGAGGGCACTCACACTTCAGTTGCTGAACTAGTTAAGCTTTGCATTGAAGTCTTAAATATTATCACAGGGACACTTTGTGTGCAAATGGTGTCCTGAATGTGTCGTGTAAATGCAGGAAATGTGTGAGTGAGCTAAAACTTAAGTGGCTAAACATGAACATACAGCTTTGGTTTTAGTGGTAATTATTGCATACATTGCAATATTTAAGGAATATTATGATGTTATATTTCCAGTAGGAATTAACTTGTGCAGTTTCTAGTTTGCCACATGACTGTGGACCCGAATGAGGCTTGCTTTTTGTGATCTTGCGTGTGGCTTGGGGGATTTTAATGCAGAATAAGACTGTAATTGCATGAGTCCTCACTACGACTGCTGTTCCTTTGCATACAGTAAAAATTGTTTGGAATTTGTGGTTTAGGAAAACTGGAGTGCCTTTGCGCCTGACTTCAAAGAGCTGGATGAAAACGTAGAATATGAAGAGAGAGAGTCGGAGTTTGACATTGAAGATGAAGATAAGAGTGAACCAGAACAGACAGGTACTGCGTAAACTGTGTTTCTATGTAGCAAATAATTTGTAGTCTGAATACATGAGTAAAAGTTAAAACTAGTGGTCACGGTAGTATGCGTGGGCGTTAAGTGACAAAACGGAAGTGGAATAAATGAAGATGTATGAACTAGCACAATCCTGCCAATTGACATGCAACATTTTTTTTAGAAATGCCTCCCCTCTCCAATGTATGTTTATGCAAAAAGCAATAGCAAGTAGACATATATCGTTGTACAGGCTTGCTCTCAACTGAAGCAGTGCTAAATTTGAATCAATAGCAGCACAGCCTGGCCACTTGGTGGTGCCAAAAAATTGTGTACTGTGAAAGGCTGTAGTTAAACTATGGAAGGGAATAAGGATTATTCCCAGCATACCACAGAGCTCTCCTCATTACCAGGCTTTGCAACTCTTCTCATATTTAGATTAATTGTTGTTTAGCAGTTTTTAATATTCAAGTGTAACATTGGCTTGTGCAAATTAAGCATTGAAACAAGTTTCATCTGATTAAGAACTGTTTTAGTGAAAACAACAAAACATTTAGAAGATTTAAAATCTTCTATCTAGCTTTACTACTAGTGTTTTATAACAATAGGTCTGTATTAGAACATAGAAAAAAAAAAAAACTGATGGATTTAAGAGGAAATTCTTTAGGTTTGTTTTCTGCTTTAATTCTCATTTCTGCACGTGGAGACATTTAAGCATAGTCCCATTCTTTCAAAGTCATTTGGCCTTTTCCTTATTGTCTTTAATTCTTCTTTTTTCCCTGCTTTTCAGGTGCTGATGCTGCAGAAGATGAAGAAGTGGATGTAACTAGTGTGGATCCCATTGCTGCCTTCTGTAGCAGGTGAAAGAGTAATTGTTTTCTTTAAAGTATGAATACAAAATGTATCACTAAGATTCTCTGTATAATATGTTATAATAACACCTAATTTTAAATGAAAGCAAATTTTTTTACTTCACAGTGATGAAGAACTGGAGGACTCCAAGGCTCTGCTTTACTTACCCATTGCTCCTGAAGTTGAAGATCCAGAAGAAAACCCCTATGGACCTCCACCAGATGCGGTTCAGAGTTCTTTAACTGATGAGGGAATAGGTTCTGAGAAGAAGAGGCAGTCCTCCTCTGATGGACCTCAGGCACCAAAGAAGAAGCCCAAAACCACCAACATTGAACTACAAGGAGTACCTAATGATGGTGCGTAGAAGCTGCTATTGTTTTATTGCCTGTTCTGCATCTGAGATGGTCTGAAGACCAGAAGTTCAGAAGGTCACTCCTTAATTTTCTCCTTCCTGTGAAGTCACTTCTTACAGCAGTTATTAATGGTCACCAACTCTGCAAATTTTGCTGGCATTTTGCAAACTGGGAATGAGTAAAGGCATCCTGAAACTGTAATTTTTAATGATGTATGTGCTGATAGAAGCATCCCAAGAGATAACTCCCTTTGGTAACACATTTTCTCTCCACAGAAGTCCATCCGCTGCTGGGTGTGAAGGGAGATGGTAAATCCAAGAAGAAGCAAGCAGGCAGGCCTAAAGGATCAAAAGGTAAAGACAAAGATTCTCCATTTAAACCGAAACTCTACAAAGGGGACAGAGGTGCTTTACCTCTGGAAGGAGCAGCGAAGGGTAAAGTGCAGGCGGAGCTGGGACAGCCTTTGACAGGTAAGGAGAACCCAGCGTGAGCGTCGTTGGCTTGCTTGGTGGCCTTGCTTTGTACAGACCCCGACTTAATATAGTCATTGCATTTTATCTTCCCAAATGGCACTTGCTCACTAAACGTTTAGCTGCTGTCAAGGATAGGCAAAATTTTACATTTTTTTAAAGTGGAAGTGCTTTCAATATTTTTAATAAAACGGATATCCATGTCTGTGTTGTTGCATATAAAGAGCATGTAGGGTTTTTAATAGAGATTGAGCACTATTTCAAAAGCAAAAAATCTTGTGATGACTTTAATCTTTTCAATAACTTCTATCAACTCTTACATAAACAGTAATAATGTTTGGTTTTGCTGCGTTGATTTTGAGGGGGAAAAATGTACATAGAGAAGGATTCTGAAGCTTAAATTGGCGTTTTGAGCCATTAATACTAGACAGGATGATGAAGAACAGAAACGTTCTGTAAGCAGAAATAGGAAATGGAACATCAATAATGGTCTGTTTGATAAACGAACCCAGAGATAAAATTCAGGAGCTGAATTTTCTATTCCTAGCTGTACAGCAGCCTTAGTTAAATTCCAGAAAGTATAGGTGCTGTAAATGAGGATAGATTTTGGTTGACTTTCCTCCCCTTTTTTTTCCTTTTTTGTCATATTTTGTTGGTTGTGTACTAAAACAGGATTGTTGCAGTCACCTTTGTTGGGGCCCAGAATTAGTCTCAGACAAAGTGTTTCCCATCTGTCTCATTTGCTTCTTCAGCTTCTTATTTGGGAGAAGTTCATTCAAGTATAGTAAAGAAAGCGTGTGTTTGGATTAAGTGATGTGGACTCCATTTTTTTTAGATTGTAATGAAGAACTCGGGGTGGATATATAAACAGTTTCAAAGACACAGTGTAATTGATATATCAAATTTTGCATTTCCTTGAACTCAGCAGCTGCTGCTGTGGATTTTAGACTGTACAGAAGTGATTTTATTTCTGCCCCCCCTTCCTTCCCTCACTGCTGGTCCTATGCTACCCACCTTGCTCATTGTCCTTCCTGCTCAGCTCCTGTTATGTTGCTTGTACTAGTACTGATAATTGCTATTTGCAGTAGGGAATGTGATAAAAGAAACTTAGTCTATACGTGGAAAAACGTGGTGGATGTTTTCTGGGCTTCCATTTAATCCTTTCACACTGCACCTAGTACTGATCATTGCTATTTGCAGAAAAAGGGAATGTGATAAAAGAAACTTAGTCTATACGTGGAAAAACACGGTGGATGTTTTCTGGGCTTCCATTTAATCCTTTCACACTGCACCTTGCAAAATCCGGAAATTAAACAGATAGCCAGGAATGTCCTTAGCCCTTGTTTGTACCTTGGGAGGTACTGAGTAGCTTCTAGTGTCAGATTTGCCGGACAGAGTGATTCTCTTTTGACTTCTCAAGTCATTAGGGGTCACCCAGTATGTTTTAAAGTATGATAGTAAGGAATTGTCTGGATTGTGTGGATCCTCTGATGTTTTTGCTGGCATCTGTAACACATCCTGATCGCACTGTTGTGCCGTACTGGATGGACAAGACTGGTTTGAAGACCAAATGAATGTAACCGTTAGTTCCATCAGCAGGCTTGTTGATTGTTTTCTTTTATCACGCTGCTAATTAACATGACCAAATGAAAAAGGTTATAAATGAGAAAGGATCGTGCACTGGAAACTTAACAACGTGGCTTCCAAAACGAATTTCAGTTGTCATTTGCTTCAGAAAAAACATGCTGTATATTTTGACTTTTCCATGTTTAAGTAGCCGTATAAGCAGTCTGTTTTCAGAGAAGTAATTTTAATAGCAAGTATTTTTGTTCAACTTTTTCAAAGTATGTTCATGTAAATTTGTTATCAACCTGTTTTACTAATTTGCTTGATCTACATTTGTAGACAGGTCTCAGTGTACTTTCTTCTTGCAGCTTGCCATCACTATTGCATCGGTTTGTTCTGAGAGCTGGAAAAATAATACTCACATTTCCTCTAACATATTTCAAATGAAGCAACATTCTAGAGAGACTCCTTTCTTGTTTTCTTACACATCCTTGCAAAGCCATATTTGGGAGGATTTTTGTGTGGCTTTGCTTGTAATGCTCCCATGCAATTGTTACAGTCTGACTTGCTATAAAAGACAACAGTGGAATTTTACTGGCTATTGCTGCTGAGCTTGGGATGTGCAAACCTGTGCCAGTGCAGTTGGCTTTGGTTTTTGGACACTGTAAAATGGAAGTTTTCTTTTCTTACGAACAGATGGGTTTAGACCCAAGTTCCCTACTTACTTTACCCATCTATTGGAGATGGCAGAGCTTTCTAAAATTTACTTTTAGTCTTTGTTGCCTGTAAGCGCTTTAAGGTATTTTTCCATGGTGGTGTCCTTTAGCTTGATTGAGCTATAGGCAAATAATTAATATTGTTATAATGGACTTCTGTCTCATTAGGACCTGTTATTATGCTCCCTTCTACAGTATTGTTGACTTAAGAGGATCTAATAGATCCGTGCAGTAGATCTCAGTAGTCAGTGTTGGAAGTGTCTATACGAGTCATGTAATGAGAAGAACAGGTTGTCCACTGAAAGAAACTGTCACTTGGATCTTTCCAAACTCACAGTAGTCTTTTAGTCCATGAAGTTCATGTCTGTCTTCCTTTGTTCTCTTTACGGCTTGAACTTACAGTTCCTATTTTGGGCAGTCAGTTTTTTCTTGGGGTTGCCAGTGTTCCACCATGTGTAAATACATACTTCCAAATTCAGATGGTCACTTCCCTGGGATCCTGGGGCCAGACTGCCTTTTCTGTCTCTCGTGCATGAAGCTGTAATTCTGCTAGTTCCTTGTGCTGTTGCTTTCTGAGGTAACTAATCAGTCACTAAAACAGTCACACAACAAGCATTTCTCCTCTGGAAACTGTTTGCTGATATGCCATAATACAGTGTATTTCTGCAAACTGCGTGGCCGGGACTTGGAGCCTGCTGCAAGTGCGTCTGTGTCACTGTGCTGTGCAGTCTGGCAGTAAATGTCTTATTCTTAAAGCTGCTACGTAAAAATCCGGTTTCAGTGTAAACAAACTGAGAACCTTGATCCGTTTTAGAGTTTTAGAATAAAATCTTACAGCAATCTGGTTTAACCCAAACTTAGGTGGAACTTGTTGTTTTCAGTTGTACTTTTGCTCTGAGATTTTGGGGTTGATAAATCAAAGAATTTTACAGCAGGTAAGTTTGCTTGCAACTTTGTGGAGTAAAAGCTCGGAGTTCCGTAGCCTGTGCACGTGATCTCAAAAACAAATGCAGAAATACTAGAGATCTTAATTTGTCATAGGCAGTATCTCGTTGATGATATCTCATTCTGAAAAGAATGGCTTTATCTAGAAAATCTTGGTCTTTCATGTTTTTTCTGGAAGTGCTACCATATTTGGTGGTCTGTGGTTTCTGGCAACATCTGTTTGAGTCTGACTACTTATTTTTCACCTGTCTTTGATCTCTTTAGCAGGTGGTGCAATCTCAGAATTGTTATGAAGACACTCTTCTTTATCTTCCTGTATTCTTTCCTATATTGGCACCATAATGTGGAAAATAGATGAAATGCTCAGTCAGAGTGGACTGACTAATACAGCAGACTGATTGTTCATGGATTCAGGGAGTGACTTTTGTAAGAAATGAATATGGAAGAGGAAACGGCCTTCATTCCTCCTTAACTGCCTCTTCATCGAACAGTGTAAGATGCTGACTCTCAGGTCATGCAATTTGCAAAGAGACTAACTGGACTGCCTTTGTGTTGACATGTATAACTATTTCTAAAGTAAGCTGGTACCCAACACTGCCACTCCACAGCTGATCAGCCATTGTCTTTTAAATATTTTTTTTTGTTGTTCCTGGATTGAAGAATACCCAAAGTGTGTATTTTTATTCCCGATGCCGTATGACTGTATATCCTGCAAACTTCCCTTTCTTTGCTGTTAATTTTCATTTCAGTGAGTTGTAAGTCCTTCTATGCCAGCTGCATTACCCTATCAGCTTTTCTGTTAGCTCAGTGTGATGTCTTCTATGCTGACATGCTTAGTGAAACACTGCTGCTGATTATGTGCCAGGTTTGATTTCATCTCAAGTGGATAGAGATCTAACGTGAAGAATCAAGACACCCTCTGAAGTCTGCAAAGAATGAATCTTCATATTGTGAATATTTTAGACATGAAGGATGACTCTGCTTATGGTAAAAGGAACAAATGAAAGTAGCTGTAGATAAAATACTCAGTTTACATGCTTTCTTCTAGCCTGTGATATGAAAAGGTGTGTTGGCAGTTTCTTTCTGTCCTTACGAGTGTTTTTATTTTGTCTCTTTCCTGTGAGGTGCCCTATCAGAAACAATTGGTTTCCTCTTTATCTGGTAGGTACTGGCAGTTAGAGGAAGAAACAGAACCAGTATTTCTCTGAACTGAAATAGTAGTTTTTCAGGGTTTTTTTCCCACTTGGATCAAGAATGGAAGAAAGATGAATGCTAACAGCTCATTCCCACCCATGCTTTAACCTTTTATTCCTTAAAGACGGTTGTAGTATTTACGTTGTGGGAATGGGAAGAGACACTTTCTCTATCCAATACTTACAGCCTGACACCTCTCTGTACTAGACCAACCGCTTGTGAAAAGAAAGTTTTCATTCCTGATGCCCCTTGTTTTATAGACTTTTATAGTTCCTATGCAATTACTTTCAGTTTTTCCCGAGATGTAATTATTGAGATTATCACTACGTATTTAAATTTTCAAAGTATCCTGCAGACATTAAAAACCAAGAAGAGGAGTCATAAAGAGATGTATTAATTTGCAGTCAGAAGTATGCAGTAGTTGCATGAGATATAAGCGTGGGAAGAGAGGAGACATTTTAAATAGGAAGTTTTTTTAAAACTGATATTTTCATTTCCGGCTTTGGTACAGTGGCCTGCTTCATTTAATGACATTCCTTCCCATGTGTACAGTATTAGTTTTCTTTGTTCTTTCTGCTTGTAGGATGACTCGCATCTTTCCTGGAACACTGTTGTGTCAAATCCGCCCATATGTGGTGTGGCTGAGCCCACAAGCTTTAAAAGATGCACAGGCAATGGTTCTCTAGATTATTTTAAAGCATATAATTTGCCACAGACTCCAGCCTTTATTTCTGTTAAAACTTCTCTGTACAGTGTATATGTCCTTGGTTTATTTTCTTCCATCTTTTATTTTATTTTTTGGTATCTAGTTTTGTACAATATTTGTCGGATACTGGCTTGATGGTAGTGTATAGCAGTGATGTTAGTTTTTGTGTTTGTAAATAAAGAGGTATGTTTTATTTCCTAAAGTCAATGGGTAAGTTTTGGCTTTTCCATACTTCTGTGATTGTTTATATTGTGACAATGTTTAGGAATCCTACAATACAGCTCCGCTGCAAACACAAACATACTGTGCCTTCACCACAGCTGGTGTGTTGTTGTTTGCTTGGTTGGTTTTTTAGTGTGGCATTTGGTTGATGACCTCTTCAAGAGACAGGAGTCAATCTGTAGTCTAATAAAAGCCCTGTATACCTGAGCACAGCCTAGGCACTCCGAGACAGATGTGCGAAAGAGGAGCTGAACACAAAGCGGGTGTAGAGTGCACCTCCAGGGAAATTGAATGTGGAAAATGCATATACTAGATCTTTAGAAGTCTTCATTTTAATAAATTAAGGATTGTTAGGAAGAGAAATATGGATATTCATTAGCAGAGCTGTTGAAGAAAATGGCAATCCAAATCCTTTCTGCAATCCATAATTCAGTTGCTGGTAAGGAGACACTCCTTATTGAACTGGCTTGACCACAGTTCAATTACGCCATCAAAAATAAGTAACTTTGATTATTTTTTTTTTTTGTTTCACGAAGAACTTTTTTAGTAGTGCATTATTCTTTTGGGACACTTGAACACTAACTGAATGAGTGGTTTCTGTTTTAGAGATGCATCAACTGAATGCGGAGATTTTGGCTCAGATCGCTCTTTGGAGTCGGTGGCTGTGTGTGACGCAGAACACGGGACTCAGGCTCGCAGCTCCTCTGAGTGATGAGGCCAGTGCTGTTGAATCTCTTCTGAGTCTGATAGTCAAGAGCCTAATACGATTCTTTTATGCTGAGTCCTCATCTCAGAGGACTTGCTTTGGCTTCAGACTTAGGGGAGTTCTTTGTTCTCCCCTGGAAGGTTTGGGGCCGCGTTCTGACCCGGGCAGCCGGACTGTGACATCGGCAGCGCTCCCCCGGGACACGGAGACGTGAATGACTTCACCGAGCCCCGTCTAGAGATGGATATCATCAGTGATAAAATACTGTTCAGCTTCCCTTTGATGTCAGTGCCATCAGACTATCTAGAGGTTGAAATCGTGTTTTCATGATCTGGGTAATTTGGGGAGTACTTTAGATTTTGGGATACGTGTATGTAAGACAGAACTGTACAGGTGCTGCATAAGGAATTAGGATTTCCCTATGCTCAACAGCATTATTTTAAGGGTTCCAGTAATGATTACTTCTATTGCTTTATAGTTTGGTGGGAAAATTAAACTGGAACAGTACTTCTTTACAGTGGAAAATCATCTAAAATAGTATGTAAAATCTTACAGAGAAGGGAGAACTTAGTCTTTTTTAAAATTGTGAAATAGATCTCAATCACTGGAATATAGTGGATTAAAACATTCTGCTGCCATGTTACAAGAACTGGAATTCATGATTCACACTCTGATGGACATAGTAACGTGTTGCATCTTCTTTAGCAGTGTTGTACTTCAAGCCTGTCTTGTTGGAGGATTTTTCTGAACAGAAGGATTGTGTCTTGAAGATGATGCTGGTGGGATTTCAGAAATACTTAGTTTGAAGGTTTCCAAAGAATGATTTGTGGGTTTGATTGTTTTTGACTACTGAATTTGCACAGCTTTAGAAAGCATATGTCTGATTGATAACCCCGATATGAAGACCTTGGGGAACAGCCACATCCTTGGGATACTACTTTGTGCTTTCTATCTACCATTGGTAGTTTCCTTTGGAAAAGTTACCATCCCAGCAGAGCTGAAGTCAGTTGTAGCGAGAATTGCAGTCAACACCACATCCTGCAGCGTCACCTGTGGGCCGGGCTTCAAACTGGAGGAGATGTGCGAGATCACTCCAGCTGGAGAGAGGAGGAATTGTACCTTGCACAGGTCCGACTGCCTGACCAGCTGGATTTGTGGCTTAGTGCACTTCACTGTCCCTGTGGGCAAACCCTTCCAGTTCAGCTGCCTGACCTCGGACGCAGTTGGCCTTGGTAGCCGAGCCTATAGCTATACGTGGAGGCTTGCCCAAGGCCTTATCACCACAAATGACGTACTGTTCAAACCTTTCAAAAACTCCGACTCTGTCATCAGATTTTCCCCTACCACGGAGTCTGATGCAGGGACTTACCGATGTGATGTGCAGATGTTGAAGACATTCAGGGTCATCAAGAGGATCTACTTTGGGGTCAGCGTGATCCAGAATGACTTAGTGGATCTGAACTTTCAAAAATCCTTGACCTGGGAACAGAAGTTAGCAGCAAACAAGGAGGAAGGAAACACAGAAAACAGCACCCATGAAGAAGTGCGAAAGCAGCAGCACTTTTGGCAGGGAGAATTGTTTTATGAATGCTTGGTAGGAGTTGGAAGTGGAGTGATAGGGGGTGTCGTCGTGAGCATGGCTCTCTACTTCTTGCGGAAGATTGTGGGAAGGAGAGCTGCAGAGAAATGAACTGAAATTTAGTCGCTTGTCTCTGTCTCTTTATTAGTATTGATGCAGTATTTCATGGCGATGTTTGTAATTTTTTTTTTCGGCTGACACAGTTTATTACCGAATATTTTCTTAAGCTTCGGAGTCTGGTAAGTTAGTACAGGACTGTAGCACCAGAGCTTGAGTCTTAATGGAGTAGTGCAGACAGCAGCTCCAGATGGGGCAAGGCAGTTTGCCTCCACATTGTGTGAAAGGATGGGCTGGAACGGTCCAGACAGGAGTTAAAGGACACTGAGCCACAGAAACTGCCCACTGCTCGCTGCTAACTACCTTGCCATGCTCCTCTAGCTGGCCTGTATTTTACCTCTAGGTGTTTGGGGCTTTTATTTAGCTAATAACTTGCGATCCGGATTCCTGTCTTATTTCCTCGAATTTCTTCTGCTTTGCCCAGAACTTTGTGGTGATGTGAGCTGACACAGATCACTGTTTGGTAGGTGGTGTTTCTCCAGTAAGAGGTGCAAAGAAGTAAGGATGCTTTCGAGGTGGGCTTACAGACCAGGTGTCCTGGCTGTCTGGTGTCCTTTCCAGCAGATCCAAGTGGTCCAGTCTGAGCAGTGTGGGGATGGGGGGTGGACCACCGCTGCCTGCTTCCTCTAGAGAGATTTATCTCCCTCTGCTAGAGCCCAGCAAACTGTAAAGTATCTTCAAGCTTGGAGCTTGCACTGTTTCCTTTGTAGTGTAGAATAGCGAAGCAGGGAGCATTGGGTAGCACAAGCAAATCTTCAATTTGAGCACTGCTGCTTAGGAACATAACTGGGTGTTTTTAGTCGTGACTCAGAGCTGAGCTCATTCCTAAAATCTTTAAAGGGGGAGGAAGGGAAGAGTGCAGTGGGCTTGTGGATCTTTCGTTTTTCCTGGTGATTGATAAGTATAAAACATGCAGCAATTCAGTAGGGAGTATTGTTTCCCCCTTGGTAGCAGAATCCACAGGGGGACCTATTAAGTGCCTTCGCTTTCTACTTTATGTCTCTTATTTTACAGTAAACAACTATATTTACTAAGTCTGTTTCTTTTCTTTTTTCTGTGAACTAAAGTACAGGAATGCATAGCACACCCAATTCTGGGGAAAATAATGATACAACTCTAATATTAAAGTTTGAAGTATACTGGTTTTTTTTTTTCTTTTTACCAGAACAACAACAAAAAGCTTTAATATAGAAAGAGATGGATATAGAAGTAAATACCTTATTTGCAGAGAATCCCATATAAAAAAATCAGACTGAAATGTAGTAAGCCAATCTTCATGTACAGTGAAGTAGGTAATAAGTATGTCAGGACAATGATCTGTGGACCCTGGGGTTGTCTAGCTGTATTTGAGTGGAGAAGCAAGCCTGTCATCAGGCTTGAATTCCCAGTTTGTAGTTCTTCTGAGTTCCCTGTTTCTGCGGGGAGACTTTAATGGGCACAGTAGCTAGCAGAAGTTTGGAAATGTTGGGGGGAACCATTCTGCAGTGACCGAAGATGTCTTCGGGAAGATGCACTGTCCTTTCCTGATGCCTGGGGCGACCCTATGGGAAGGGACAGAAGGATTGCTACACAGTTGTGACAGACAGCAAGGGACTGTGTGTCTTTCTTCTGTCTGGCAACCTGGTCCTGTGGGTCAGAAGCTCCTGGATAGTGATCAGTTGTCCAAGATTTTCTTGCTTCTGTTCTTCATCAGTTTCCTCTGACT